TTTTTTTCTTGATTAATTTCCATGTTTTTTTATGCTAGATGCATTAGTGCAATCATTATTATCTTTTTAGATCTTTGATTCCTCTCCATCTCAGTCCCAGTAGGGATTAGCTGGTTGAAACTACAAGGTCTAGTAGGACTTATGTTGCTTTGTATAAGGTTTTCCTGCTCCTAGTTATGATCCTTATGGCACACTTTCATTTTTTCTCATGTAGGTTATTTTCTATAAAAAATTAGCTTATGAAGAACAAATCAAAGATCTATTGAGGAAAAAGAATTTCGAGGAAGCCATATCCTTAGTGGAGGAGCTTGAGTGTGAGGGTGAAATGTCAAAGGAAATGCTGTCCTTTGTTCATTCTCAAGTGGGGTTCCTGTTGCTTTTTGATTTGCGATTTGAGGAAGCAGTGGATCACTTTTTGCAATCAGAAACAATGCAGCCGTCGGAAGTATTTCCATTTATAATGCGAGATCCAAACCGCTGGTCACTGCTGGTATATTATTATTTTTTCAATGGTATAATGAATTGTTTCCTTTAGATTAAAATGTGAATTTGACTTCCTCTGGCAACGTCTGGTAAAATTCAGACAATGTAGAAAAATATGGATTTGGTGTCTATTTTTGAAAAGATTGAACTGTTCCTTTATAATGTTGATGTAATATGAAAGAAATTGTGGTGGAATAAAGTTCAAGAAGTTTGGCAGTTTTCAAAGAAACTGAACATTGATGAGGGCATCTTGGTTAATATGCCGTAACTTTTGTACTCTGCCTAAAGCACAGCTTTTAAGATTTAGCCTAAAATTCAATCCATTCGCTCATGAATCATGGTGTATGGACTTGATCCGTCAATGTGATCATGTGATTCAGGTTAATTTCTTGGAACACTTCGCTAGTACCAAATTTAATATAAGATCTACATGTACAATGACTGAATGAACTGATCTGTTCCTGTATTTATCCCAACTTAGTTGTTTTCTAAACATTGGTCAAATAGAAGGAAATCTTGCTTTCAGCTTATTCCTGTTGTGATCATGTCTATTCTAAAAGGCAAAGCTTGATTCATGTGTGAATGGTTTTAGGCAAACATGTTGCAACACAGTCATTTAATAGCTGGGACATTTTACTATAGCCTGATTTGTGGTAAAAATGGTAATGCTTCTATTCAAGTTGAATAGAGAAGTAACAATGTTGAGATGTTGAAATTGAGTAGAAAACAGTATGGACACCTTAAGAGATGAACAAAGCAAAAAGAGAGTACCGAAGTGAAATTGTACTTGATGCAGATTAACGGAATGGAGCAATATCTTATCTGAAACAGTGTAATGAGACCATGTATCTCATTGTCCATATTATGTGATATTGAATTTACTGTCTTTTCTAGCACTTGCGTTATCTTAAGCTTTCTTGGTTCAGCTTCTCAAGTTTGGTTTGTTTTTCAGGTTCCTAGAAACCGGTATTGGGGTTTGCATCCCCCTCCTGCACCCATTGAGATGTTATAGATGATGGGTTGATGGCTATCCAAAGAGCTATTTTCCTTAGAAAAGCAGGTGTAGAGACTCAATTGACGATGATTTTCTATCAAATCCTCCAAGTAGAGCCGATTTACTAGAGTCAGCTATAAAAAACTTTATCAGGTACTTGGACATAATTAATGTTTTGCTTTTTTTTTCAATTATTTTTCATAGTCTTTTCCCCCTAGAATTTTAACTCCCTTCCTCTCTCCTTTTCTCAACTTTGTGGTGTGGGAGATGTGAATCAAATATCAATATGAAAAACTGAAGTTTTGAATTCAGTTACTGAGTGATCTGCATTTTAGTAATTTATTCTTGCTGTTTTAGCTGTTTATTTTGCAGCATGACTTAGCACTAAGGTCTTCCATGACAAAAACTCTCTCACTTCTCTTGCTACAGGTACTTAGAGGTTTCTCGTGAGAAAAATTTGACTTCGTCTGTGAGGGAGGGAGTGGACACAATTCTGATGTACCTGTACAGAGCTTTAAACTGTGTTCATGATATGGAGAAGCTTGCATCAAACGAGAATAGTTGTGTTGTGGTATGTGTTTCTTCTTTGCTTAGGTATATCTTTTTGCATATTTTGGAATCAGTTGAATAATGAGTTAATATCTTTTTTAGCGCAATAAATGATCAGTACATGCCAAAGACAAATAAATGATTCTTTCTTGAGTAGAAAATTTAATGTACGATAGATGAAGATGCTAGTTTGGATTTTATTTGGCATCTTTCAATTAGAACCAAGGAGTGATTAGAGATGAAATATTCTACTTACCAATGAAGTTAGGAAAACTGTAGTCTCTACGTAGTATGCTTCACTATTTATTTATTTTTTAAAAAAAAGTTTCTATGTGGCATCATTATTTGACTGAATATTGTTCATTAAGAAGGGTGGTTGATAGTCAGTTCCTTAGATGAACTTCAGGAGAAAAGATTGTGAATTTAAAAAATTTTTTTTTGGAAATAAAATGTAAAAAAAGTTAAAATAAATAAATAAATAAGTAAAAGTTATGTGAATTATGTAAAACTTCAGGAGATTTTTTTTTAACTTCTTAAAATTATGTGAGTTTTAAGAATGAAAGATGCATTTTGAGATGAATATCTTCTGCATTAAGAGATTGATTGTTGATTCAATTGAACTTTGAAATGGATAGTAAATGCTCTAGGGAAAAATAATTTAGGCCTAATATAGTTGGAAGATGAAAAAAAAAAAGGAAATTTGAGATTTGATGGTCCAAATCTGAAGTGGACTAGGTGGCTATTAGGTCCAAGTTTAACTTCTTGGTGGTGCATCGTCGTTTTTAGGAAATGATCCATTTAGCTGACCTGGAATTTAAAGCAAAATGCATTTGGAATAAAATGCGTCCCCAGAGTAAAGAACAGACATTGTAACTTGAGCGGTTATAAAGTAAATATCAATGGTTTTTAGGCCTCAGTCAGTGCACTCTGTAGATGTTGCAAACTCTGGAATCTTAGTATTCCAATGCTTTGCACAACAGAGTGGCCATTGTCAGGAGCTTGCTTGAAGGATGACTTTGCAACTTTGCATGGACAGTGCAGGAGGAGTTAGAGACTCTATTAGATGACTCTGGGCATTTACGAACACTTGCCTTCTTATATGCGTCTAAAGGGATGAGCTCAAAGGCTCTTGCTATTTGGCGTATCTTCGCACGAAATTATTCATCAGGTCTATGGAAAGAGCCTGCTACAGAGAATGTCTTACCTGATGGTCAGACCACCATAATCTCTGGCAGGGAGATTGCTGCAAGTGAGGCATCAAATATTCTTGAGAAGTCCTCTGATCAAGATTTGGTTTTGCAGCATCTTGGTTGGGTATGTGGTAATTCTTCTCAAGTTTCTGTGATTAACCTTTCGTAGATATTGACATAAGCTCAATGAACTTCATTGGATATCATTTACTTGTTAGGTTGCAGACGTAGATCCTGTACTTGCAGTTCGAGTTTTAACATCTGAAGAAAGAACAGAACAACTTTCTCCAGGTGCATGTTGTCTTATGGTGGATCATGTTGTCTTAGTGCTTGCTTTGAATATTGTAATGAACATGCACAGAAGCACTAATACTTCTTATTGCACTTTTATAATGTGTTTAACTGGTAACTTAATCTTTAGGAACTTGGTAAATTTTTGCTGTTGCACATGGTCCAGTGATGCATCTTGTACTTCTTGGAGGTTATCCTGTCATGTTGTAGGTTCACTCTTTTTTTTTAAAAGAAAGTACCATGTATTCACCAGCCCAAAGGAATGCAAACCCGTATATAGAATACTTACATGTTTGGCAAAATATCTATGAGGTCGTTGCACAAATAAAAAGGATGGCCCTTAACAAAACTTTTCTAGGTTTAGAAGCATGCATCCTCAAATTTATCAAAGTTTGCTTCTATACCCTCAAAAACTCTCATATTTCTTTCTTTTCAAATTATCCAAAAAGTATCCAGAGGAATAAGCTTTGCGGAGTGATTGTTCCTACAATCCTTTCTAGTTGTGGGCTCATTGCTTTGTCTCATAACATATGTGTTTGATTCTAATAGTGTTAATTGTTGTGATTTTTCTGTAATTCCCCGAACCCCAATAACGATGCGCAAACGTACTCCTATCAGTCCCAACTAGTGGGGCCTACAAAACATCCATATACTTAGCTCAGAAGTTCAAAATAACATCTTATGTGATGTATACAACATTTATATGTACAAAATATGAGGTCAAATTAGAATTTAACAAAATGATGCGATAACCAAAATAAAAACTGAATGTACACTGATTAGAACACCTTCGCGTTTCCTTCACTCATCTGGCAGTTGTTACGGATCTTCTTGCTTTGAAAATATTAGAGTGAAATTTAATAAGTTTTACAAACTCAGTAATTATTCCCATTATTTCAAGACCCTAATAAGACATCATGCAAATACACCCATGCATGTGACAAATGCTATATTATTTTTCAAATAAAAATTTGTTTATAATTTTTCACAATGTTTTTAACTTCACAATTTTTATATTTAGAAATTCACTTATCATTCATAATTAATTCTTATATCGAAATTTCATACATTTCACTTGCATATCCCAATTACACATGAATATCATTTCTATACTCGAATATTACACTTACACCCGAATATCGTCTCTAACTCAAAACATCACAAATATATTCGAAATATCACATCTACCCTCAGAATATTATAAATACTCTCAAGATTACATATTTACATTCGGAATATCACATGTAAGGTTTTATCGCTCAAAACTGTTTATATCGTCATTAAGGAGTGGTGAAAAGGATCCTCCTATCATATGGATAGCACACATACAGTCTCACATTAGCCATAACATGTATGTTTGTTAGATGACCCACACACTCATAAATATCTATTTACGTCTGGATTAGATTTCACAAAACTATCCATGTGTAAGTTCACCATAATTCCACTTAACTTTAGCCACACACACACATCCTCCTCTCCTCGATTCAGACTAAACGAATAAGGTATTCATGATCCATACAGATTTCATTCATATCCACTCCTTTTACTTGATTCCCTCATTCAATTTAATTTATTAATTCTTATTTCAATTATTTAGATTATTCTTAAGGTATTTTATTTCTTAACTAATAACATCTATTTTTCTCTTACTAGTTTCACTCATTTGTTTTCTCAAATATCATCACTTTCATTTTACAGTTTTATTTCACAGTTCTAGAATTTCCATTCATTTTTCATGCCAAGTCACAGTACAGGCATGCAATTCCACAATTGTCACGGAAATAGGAATACAGGTTTGCAACCATCACATATCAAATGTTCTGAACTCCATCCCGGTAGGTTCACACTGCCTGGACTGTGTCCAAGTTTCTGTTCTTCATCAGTGTATCAATGAAGTACCTGTTCTATGCTCAAACACATACAATATCAATAATCTGCATGCATAGAACTCAATATCCCAAACTCAGGTTCGGAATAAGGAATACTTACAAAACTCCTTCGCAAATTGGCTTTCCTAAAATGTCCTGTAACTCTAGATTCAACCACAAGTAAATATGGTTTAATATAGGTTCACAACATGATTAATAATCTTAAATTGGAAACTAAAAAGGAGTAAATCACTTGCGGTTTGTGGGGCCCAAAACTCATTGTGAACACTTGGATTCTGGCACCCAATGGGCCACCCTTTGGCTCGCCGCATCGACGTGAGTGCTCTAGCTCCCGAAACCTGCACATACACTTTAGTACTCACTCCCATCGAAAATCCATGACGAAAGAGGAAAGAGGAAATCACTGGTATGGGTTCGGTGCTGCAAAGGCCCAAATGACCTCAGGGTTCGGCGATTCCTCTTCTTCTTCCGGTCTAGTGCCTCCGCAATGCCCCTCCCTCCACCACTCTCTCTTCTTCTTTTCCCCCTTTTCTTCTTCTGCTCTCTCTTCCTCCCTCTTGGACTACCCTTCTCTGCTCTCTCTCTCTCTCTCTCTCTCTCTCTCTCTCTCTCTCTCTCTCTCTCTCTCTCTCTCTCTCTCTCTCAATTTCGGCTCTTCTTCTTCGAATGAGGGTAAACCCGACTACGGTTTCCCTTTTTATGCTTTTCACCCTTACCATCTGATCTGATCAAAGCGAATCTGAGCCGTTTGATTCGCCTCTTCATCTCAGCCGTTGATCCAGGCGGGAATCGCCCTTAGCTGTCCAATTAGATCTGCATTTAAGAGCTGTTGGATCGGCTTCCAAGCAGTTAAATCCTGGCCATCCATTTCCATCTCCTGCCACCTGTTCCGGATTTTCAATAATTGCCATTTTTGCCCCAATTTTGTAAATGTATTCGTTTAGGTCCTTTTTATTTACACAAGGCCCCTAAAAATCTTCCTTTTTCCTTCCTTCAAGCCCCAAAGACCTTAATTGAACTAATTTTAATTATCTACAACTTTCTAAATTATTTTAAATGTAATTTATATCCAATTAAGGTTTGATATTACATTTTCACACCCTCATGTTCATGTTCTTTATCATGCTGACAATTGCTAAACATGATCTGGCTTAAAAATTTGGCGACTGTTAGAAATTTGGAAGTAAACTTACCATTTTTTAATTTAAGAATTTAGGAGTAACACAAAACTATCATAAATTTTGTGTACTGCAGTGCATTTTGATACTGAACATTTGTTTTATATGCATTGATAGCTATGATTTTCCGAAGTGCTTCTTCTTTCCTTAAGATTCCATTTAAATAGTGTTTTTCCTTTCTAAGCCATCTCAGCTGCAGTGTTTTCCTTTAACTGTCCACTTTACATGAACATGGTTAATCTTGTGTTTTGCAACTTCTTTCTTAATGCTCGAGCTTGGCCTTGTGCTTATTTGTTATATTTTCTGTAGTTTAAGGTTGAAGTTCACTTGATTTTGTTTCTTGATACCAAATTATCTCCTAGTGCAGAGAAAGTGATTGCTGCAATTGACTCAAAAAAGGTTGAAATTCTTCAAAGGTATGCTTATGATATGCTGTACAAGTTAAGCTTTAGGTTGTCAAATGCGATAAAGAGATGGACATTGGTATTTTATGGGTGAAAATGTGGTATTTCAAAACCAGTTGGTGCATGCTCACTGAAAAAGAAAAAGAAAAGAAAAAAGCACCCAATGCATTCAATCAATCAGAAGGAACAACTTGCATGTGCCTTTTTGAAGTGCAAGATTTATCATGAGTGAGTTGTCAATAGAAAAAGTTATTAACAAGGCATCAAAATGGTGTCTGATGTGCAAAATTCTAGCTATTCATTTTGCTCAAACCTATTTCAAAAAAATATTCATTCAGCTCAAACCAAATTATCTAAGTAGGCAACAGGCTTTCTTCCATTAGACTGGGATCGGGAATGGAGTGTTGGAATTAGTTCTGTTGTTTCTAACACGATCTCAATTTTGTGAAGATACTGAAGAGTCAAAGAGGTTTTGGCAAATCCAATTGATTATGATGTAAGCAAAAATGAAAAATTCTTTTCTTTCAACCTGACAAATTTAATGGCATAATTGAAAAAAGAGATATTCCGAAGTATTGTGTTCTATAACAAGTGAACTCACTTAATGTTTCATGAATATGCCTTTCTTTTTTTATGAAAAGAGTATTATGATTCTCAAGTTAAATTTAGCTTTCTACTGTAGCTTTCTAGTTTTCGAAGAGTAACAGTATTTCACTGACTTTTACAAAAGTTTGTGTATAAAAATAAATTATCCTTTTCTTTCAAAGTAAAGAAAGGATCCCTTAACCTCCATTTGTTATATCACCAGTCATTTGGCATATCAAAACAACCAACCAGTATAGCAGAGAAACAAAACCCAAGCTGACAGATAACTTTTGGAACTTCTCTTATAGCTATATTCTATTTTCTTTTTAGCTAGAAGATTTCATTCTTTTTATTTTATTTTTGACCTTATAGGATTTATGAGTTACAATGTGCCATAGGCTTATAGATTCAACTAATACATCTGGAGCATTTAGGAAGAAATAAATTCTACTAGCATTCCATCTGTGAGAAAAATTGGGTCTGATCTTTGTTAGTTCTAGTTTAACTTTGTTTTTTGAGTAGTCTTTGTCCTTCCCATTTAATGAATTTAGGAAACAGGCATACTAACATCATTCTGATTTGGGGGGACTTATACTTACCTCTTCCCATATTGAGAAATTACACTTACCTCCTTGTCATTTGTAGTTTCTGAAAATTTCATTATGCTCTGTTTATTAAAATAGTGTGAATCCATTCTGAGTTGGTCAAAAGTGATGTAACACCTACAGAATTAAGAAATATTGATTTCCTACAGCATCTTAGGTAATACTTTGTCAAAAAGAAAATAATAATGTTAACAGTTAATGATTATTTTAGTTTGTACTTTATTATTCTTTTTTACCTTTGAACGACACAATGGACACTTCTATAATTCCATAAAGCTTTGGCTATTAATTAATGTTGTTTAGTCAAACTCCAAATCTCAGGAGGTTACGGCAATTTTCTGGAGAAGTTCATTTACGAACATCATATTCTTTTAACTGTGCAGGTACCTGCAGTGGTTGATTGAAGATCAGGATTGCAGTGACATGCAGTACCATACATTATATGCTCTCTCACTTGCCAAGTCTGCCCTTGTAGCCTTTAAAGAAGAAAGTAGTTGCTTAAGGCCTGATGCTGGAAAGCTAGAAAGAGAAATTTCTGATGCTGGATGGAATTTAATTTTTCTAAGTCCTGTACGAGAAAGATTGCAGATTTTTTTACAGTCTTCAGATTTGTATGATCCTGAAGAGGTCCTTGATTTAATTGAAGGATCAGAGTTATGGTTGGAAAAGGTTAGCTGGAAATTCTTTCTTTGTCCTGAATTCTGCTTTCTTTTCTTTTTTACTGCCTTGATATGTTAATACCTTTTAAATGTAGGTCTGCTTGCTATTACCATCTGCTTTCTAATGGTCTGATATATGCTACTTTAAAAAATTGCAGGCTATTTTGTACCGAAAATTAGGGCAAGAGACACTGGTCCTCCGAATTCTGGCTCTGTAAGCTCAAATAAGCTCAAGTTAATTTTTACAATATCAACAGTAGTCTATGAAAATACTTGTTCATAATCGTGACTGGTTACCAGTCACCATGGGTGTTACACCAAGGAACACTAAATATATGATCTCATATCTATTAATAATTTCGGATGTAGCAGAAATATGAATCTTTGAATATTTATTAAGTGCATAAAATGGTCTCTTAGGAAGCTGGAAGACAGCGAAGCTGCGGAACAATATTGTGCAGAGATTGGCAGACCAGATGCTTATATGCAGTTAGTTTCCACCCTTTCCTTTTTTATTAGTCTATCAGTCTTCTTTTTTTTTTTTCCTGTTCTGATGATGCGTGTAATTGTCTCAGGTTGCTTGATATGTATTTGGACCCACAAAATGGTAAAGACCCTATGTTTAAGGCTGCTGTTTACCTTCTTCACAATCATGGAGAATCACTTGATCCTTTGCAAGTTCTAAAGGTTTGAGCGTTATTCTCTATATCTCCTTTTTCCTCTGTCTTCTGAAGGAAAATCCTTTTTTTCTGTGACATTTGGGCCCATCCTAAAGCCTTTTCTTAACAGGATACTGGTGGTTATATTATTTGTCATGTAGAGTATTATGGTCTCAATCTAATCTATATTAGTCCCAAAAGTCCTACTGTATTGCCAAATTTAACCCAATTTAGCCCAATACAGTATCCCAATTTTAGTAACTTCTGCATATAACCCAATTTAGCCGTGAGGATCTTCCCAATACATGGAAGGATGATAACTTAATTAAAAAGGAAACATAGTTCTACAAGTTATTCTACAGTTGATAATTACAAAAAAGCATTATTATAATAATAATAAATAAAAATAGTTATGCTAACTTTTCCTTCAGTGTTTTGGAGAACAAGACTAAACACTTCTCACGAAATAATTCCATACTTCTTTTTTCAATGACATACAATTAAAGGTACATGATCTATCAATTATCTGCTCAATGATGCCAATCTCAATTTTAGTTGATTATTAATTTATATGGCATATAAGATCATTGTTTATTTATTAATTTTTCTATAAAGGAAGTAGATTAGAAAAAGTGAGAAATGTAGTAGGGAAAGGGGAATGATGAGGTCCCACAAAAAATAAGTATAGACAAGGAAGAATCTTCAATTCAAGAGAGCAACTCAATCACTTTGCAAATGATTGATAAGAAGCCTGTGCCGGAGGTGAGGCTGTGAACAACCCGAGCAAAAGGCTGTGTTTGTACATGTACAGGTTATTATGTAGAGGTCAACAGGAGTGCTGTATCGTCAATTAATGTTAAGTGGAATCTAACTGATTGGGAGGTTGATGACTTTGATGAAATGTTGCAGATTCTTGAATCACAGCAGGTTTCAACCAGTGAAGACCAGATTGTTTGGAAGCTGGAAAAAATGGAAATTTTTCTGTTACTTCATATTATAACTCTCTGTCAAAAAAGGATGCTGCTGGCAGAAATGGTTTTCTGGCTAAACTCATTTGGAAGACAAAAGTTGCATTGTGTTTTTCACTTGGGAGGCCTGCTGGGAAAGAATATTAACCATGGACAGGCTGAAAAGCAAGGGCTGGGTTTTAGTGAATGGCTGTTAACACTGTTTAAAGGCTGAGGAAACGATCAATCATCTATTATTGTGGTGTCTTACAACCTGTAGTCTATGGTGTTTGGTTTATGGTCTTTTTGGGATTGATTGGGTTAATTGCAGATTCGGTTAGGGGGGAGATTTGGGCTTGAGATGGTTTATTTGGAAAAAAAAATATTGCTAACATTATCCATTTGACTGTTTTCTGGGTCATTTGGAAAGAGAGGAATAGTAGAGATTTTGATAGTGTCAAGAGTAACTTAAATAGACTTAAAGATAGGTGGATACATACTTTTGAGTCAATTTTGTTAGGTCATGACATTAATAGTGAGGTAGATTTTGGGAATGTTATTGATACTCTAACATCATTGTAAATGATTTTGTACATAGGTGGTACCCCTCTTTTTCTTGGTACCCTATTAATACATACTTAATACTGTTTATTTCAAATAAAAAGAGAGGAAAGATTATTGTAATTGCCCCCATATATGTGCTTGCAGGGGGCATGAATCCTTCAATCATCTCCTCTTTTGGTGCTAAGAGGTTAAAAGGTTGCAGGATTTTTTTTTGCTTTAAGGCTTTTGTGCTTGACTTGGGTGAGATGACTATATGAGTTGAGGAGGACAATTGGGCTTGGATGGGTATCAAAACTTGTAAATATATGAAAAAACTTTTTAAATCACATTCCTTTGTCTATTTTGTGGGTTATATGAAAAAAAAAAAAGAAAAAATCAAGTTCTCAGGCCATTTGTTCTCCTTTTATAGATTTAGAGAGTATTGCTTCCAATCCGTTAGCATTTTGTTGACGCTTGATAATGTGGATTTTGGGAACCTTTTAGACATTTTTGCTTCTGATTTATTGTAAATTTTTGTACATGAGTGGCACCCCCTAGGTGTCTTTTGATGATATCTCATTTTTTCTCTCAAAAAGAAATAGAAGCTCCATTTTGCAAGGGCTGTGTTAGACAGTAGCCAAAAGGTCACTGTTTTTGAATTTCTTTTTTCACCTGTTTTCTTTGATTGTTTGACGAGAAATATGTTTTTTGTTTTCCCAGAAATTGTCCCCCGATATGCCCCTTCAACTTGCATCTGATACAATTCTGAGAATGCTGAGGGCTCGACGTCATCATCATTGTCAAGGACAAGTAAGAGCTCTAAAGTTTGTAGAACTTTTTCTGCCTTCTTTGCGTGATTTGTCAGTGCAGTTAGTTTTTCTACATTCATATTCCATTTTGTTTGCATGTTGGTTGTAGTTCCTTTTTTATGTTTCCTTTTCTTGGTGCTCCTTCCTCTTTTTGGCTTGGAGTTATACTGACATTGTAATATTCTTGCACCTGAGCGTCTCATTAAATAACTAGCCTTAAAAGGAAAATGGATAGGAAACTAACTATTTAAGTGAGTAAAATTGCATTGCAGCTAAGCATTATGCACCTCTGTGAGGATAGCTATATTTTAGTTTCAAGAACTACCGCGCATATCATAATGGTATAAGATTAGCGTGCTTGATGAATTACAAGCATTTCAAAGTCTTCTAATGAAATGCTTTATAGATTTCACATGTTAACCAATATTTATTTTCTTAAATGAAAATGATCTGTAATTTTTTTTTCTTCTAATTGAAGATGTATTCTTATAGTTGAACAAATTTTGATTTGTTACTTAATGCTTATGCATAGATGATGTGCTACCATGTCTTAAGAATCACTGATTAGTTCATGCTTACCCTACAGTTCTCAAAATTAGCAAAATTGTTTTCAGGCATTGCTATGCGAGCTATATATTACTTCACTTTTATTAATTTACTCTACGGTGGTGGGCATACAAAGAGATAATATAAGATGGGGATGGAAAGACTTTTATCCTTAAGATGTGGGATGGGGAATGAAAACTCGGTTTTTCTTGGCATGATAATCGATGTAGGAGGCGCTTCTGGAGGTGCAAATTTTGGATCTTCTTTCAATTGCCAGAGAAAAGGATGCTTAGTCTTGTGCTGCTCTAAAATTTTTACCTTACATGAAAAAAACATCTCCTAAATAACTATTTTTGCAGATTGTACGCAATGTATCCAGTGCTTTAGACATTGATGCAAGGCTGGCGAGATTGGAGGAAAGATCACGATACGTGCAAATCAATGATGAGAGCTTTTGTGATTCTTGTAAGGCTCACCTTGGAACTAAACTCTTTGCGATGTACCCAGATGATACTGTTGTTTGTTACAAGGTGTGTCCCCTTTGCATTTACTCTTTTCTCAATGTGCCACATTACTTTCTTTCCTACTTCTTGGCCAGGTTGGCTCTTTTAAGAATAGTAACATTGCGTTTGGTTCAATTTTTATTCAATTGCAACTTCTAGGTTTTTATCAGTCTTCATGTGTATGATTAACATAATCTGCTGTGGTAGTTAAATAGCACATCATCTTGAATTCCTTGATGGTGGGAATTCAATTACTATTTTTTAAGGTAGCGCTATGGTAACTAAAGTACAACTGATTATATTCTAACTTAAGATTAGTTGGAAAACAAAAACTAGGAACTGAATGAAAATTGAACTGAAAGCAGCATATTATAGGTTTCAAATCTCCCTTTTTCTTTTGGCCAAAAAGGCAAAAACAGTGCATTCTTATGAATAAGAAAACTGAGCTTATTTGCTTGGCTAGATTTTTCTTCGTACTGCAGCTTCCCACAATGACACCAAGAATTTTCCATAATGTTATCAAATGTTCAAGAACTGCATTTTTTTAATCTCCTTGCAGTGTTACCGGCGTCAAGGTGAGTCCACTTCTGTTAGCGGTCGCGATTTCAAGCAAGATATCTTGTTCAAGCCAGGTTGGCTTGTAAGCTGATAATCTAAGAGGGTAATGTGATGAGAAGTCTGCAAGTTCAAATGGCGGCTTTTGTGCTCCTGCATGTGGCTTTAACTTTATATTGCAGCTCTAGCTGGAGATAAATGAAGAGTTCCAACATAAACATGTCTGTAATGTCCGGTTTGGGGGACGTGCTCATTTTCCTTTTCTGTACATTTATTAAGAAATATGAATAGGAAGCCGTTTTATGGTTTTAGATATTCAGTATGGATGCTCAAAATTGGCGGATACATCAGGCACAGTGGAAAAAGAAGGAAAAACGAAAAACGCATTTGGAGCTTCCTCATTCTCCTTGCTAGTTGCAACTTAGCTTGCCTTATGAGCAAGGAAAATAATAAAATGCAAATTGTAATTGTACTCTTGATACAGGTCTCGTTTGCTTATATATATATATATATTTAAACGTGAAATTAAATTATATGCTATATATTAGGTATAATAAACTTTTATTTTTATTATTATTTTTTAAAAGATTATAAAAATACTAATTTGATTTGGGTATAAAATTGATATAGAATAAAAATATTATTCTTAATAATTTTTTTTTCATATTTTGTAGAAATGGAGTATAATTTATTTTTATAGGAGGTAAAATAAATTTTAGTTTTAATCCTATGCAATATAAATAAAAAGATAATAAAAAAAATTCAGTGCAATATATACTTTGGCCAAAATACTTGTATTATTTGATTTATTTTATCTAAGGTCTTAGTATCTTTTTAGTCTATTTTAATTATGTATTTGAAATTTTTACTAAATCTACCTTTAGCATTAACTATCGATTTTGGGCAGTTAAATAGTCACATAGATTTTTTTAATCCAAGTTTCTAACTTTTTGTGTGTTTTTTTTTTTATTTTTGTTTCTTTTATCTATATATCTTTTAAAATTTTATTTAATTTACTTTTAGTTTTAATTGTTATTTATGAACTGTTAATTTTAAATACGTGATTAATTATATGTTAAAATTAAAATAAATAAACAATAATGTGATATATGATATGATTGTCACATTAGATTAAAAACTCAAAATAACATCTACGTCTCTTGGTTCTTGTTATCTTTTTCCTTCTAGTTACACTTTTACTTCGAGCCCTCATATCATAAATACTAAATTCCAAATGTCATCTCATCTCCTTCTTCCTCATATCATAAATAATGAAATGAAATTCTTGTAATCTTCCATAAAAAAATGAAGAAGCAAAGAAAAGACAAACGAAAAAAATGCATTTATATTTGATTTTCTAGTGATGTTAAATAGAGTTTTATGTTATGTTATTTATGCTATTTTTCTAGTATTTTGATTTTTAATAGAACTCTTATTCTTATAATAGAAGTTTTATGTTATTTTCTTTGTAATGGTTTTTTGGTATTTTCAAAGATAATAATTTTTAATATATTTTTTTTTTATAACAAATTCAGTGGAATTTGCAAATTTAAAATAGAATTCTTTTGTTTACAAAATCATTCACTCTTCCTCCAACTAATTGAATTTTTTTGTTGTAATTAGAGATTTGGAGATTTCTAAAATTAATACTCGAAAGAAGAGAGGGACTTGGAGAAAGAAGATAACAAACATTGGGGGACGTCCACAAATGAAATTGTAAATTTTTTTATCTCACGTGACAATCACATTATATGTTACGTCATTATTTACGTATATTAATTTTGATACATATCATATAACCAGAACTTAATAGGTCATAAACAACAGTTAAAGTTGATGATATATTTAGTAAAAATTAAAAGTACAAGATTAAAATAAATAAAAAAATATAGATTTAGATTAAAAAAATCAAGTTGTCACCTTTTTTAAACTTAAACAGTATGTCAATAATAGTTAAGATAAATAGTAGATTCGGTAAAAATTTAAATATATAAAAGTTAAAATAAACAAAACAATTTTCAAAAAATAAGATAAAATAAACTTTTGCCTATAAATTTTATAGAAATTTTTATTCTAAATCAGATATTTTAAAAAAATTTAATATGTGATGAAGCAAAATCTATAATTGTTCAAAGAAGAATATAAGAAATTAGATTTATTAATTATAATTAATTCTTATAAAAATTAAATCAGAATAGAATAATATAAAAATTGAGTAATTTTATTTTAAATTAGAAATAACTAGAAAAAGAATAAAATCGAAAATAGCACTATTTAGTGCTCTGGGACGTGTACTGTTCTGGCTTGTTACGTTTTAATGATTTTAGAAGTAGGTGAACTGGTAAATGGCATACAGACGAGACACCGTTAGCCTTTTAAGTTTGCCCTACCATGTTTTTCTCAGTGGCCTGGACCACATACTGCATTTTGAATTGTTGCCTCTCCCCATCTCTCAATCTTTCACTTTCTTTCTTCTGCTTTCATTTTCTAGCTCCCATCAATTATTTAATTCTACTTAGTTAAGTACACTAAATTAACTAGTACATAATATATTTATAAACTAATAAATCTTATGTGTAATTAAGTATTCTAAATTCACCAAATTTATAATGTATCTCCTCATCTGTTTTAGTAATAAAGCGCTGCAGCTTCTTCTGTGTTCTTCAAAACTTCAAACCATCATGAACCGCTTCTCCTCCTTCCTCCTTTCTGTCATCATCTTTCACTGCCTGAAACTCTCCTCGGCCGCTTGCCATGTTGACGATGAAGCGGGTCTCTTGGGTTTCAAATCGGGAATAACTCAAGATCCATCGGGCATGCTCAGCTCCTGGAAGAAAGGAACCGATTGCTGCACTTGGGAAGGCGTCCGTTGCCTTGATGGTAAACGGGTCAACGCCGTTACTCTTTTCGGACAACCCGAACCGAATAGCTTTTTGTCCGGAACAATCTCGCCGTCGTTAGCTAAAGTCCGAAATCTCGACGGCATTTACCTCCAGAACTTGCGAAACATCTCCGGCAACTTTCCGGCTCTTCTTTTCCAGCTGCCTAAGCTCTTGTTCGTCTACATCGAGAACAACAAGCTTTCGGGTCCCCTACCCGGAAACATTGGTAACTTGACGAAACTAGCCTCACTGAGTCTGCCCGGAAACCGGTTCACTGGGCCGATACCAGATTCAATCTCCCAGTTGACCGAGTTGACTCAGCTGAATCTCGGCAGAAATCTCCTCACCGGCAAGATACCGGTAGGAATTAGGCAACTCAAGAAACTTGGAGTTTTTATGCTTGACCACAATCGCCTCACCGGTACTATACCCGATTTTTTTAACTCGTTCACCGAGCTCAGAACTCTCGTACTGTCACACAATGAATTTATAGGGAATATTCCGGGATCAATAGCATCACTGGCACCGACACTGGTTTATCTTGAGCTGGGTCACAATGTATTAACGGGTCGGATCCCGGATTACATTGGCAAATTCAAGGCGCTCGACACTTTAGATCTTTCCAGCAACCGATTCGCAGGAGTGGTGCCGAAAAGTCTCGCGAATCTGACCAAAATCTTCAATCTCCATCTCTCTCGAAATTTTCTCGTCGATCCATTTCCGGCATTGAACGTGAAAGGCATCGAGTCGCTTGATTTATCGTACAACCAGTTTCATCTGAAGGAAATACCCAAATGGGTCACTTCATCGCCGATCATCTTCTCCCTCAAGCTCGCCAAGTGTGGGATCAAGATGAACTTATCCAAGTGGAAGCCAGCAGAGACTTATTTTTACGATTTCATCGATTTGTCGGAGAACGAAATATCAGGTAGCCCTGTTTCTTTGCTGAACCGGACTGATTACCTGCTAGAATTCTCGGCTTCTGGGAACAAGTTGAATTTTAATTTGGGAAGCTTAAGGATCCCGAAGACGATGAAATCCTTGGATTTGTCACGAAATTCGGTGATTGGCAAAGTTCCAAATGCCGTTTCGGGATTGGAAAAGTTGAATGTTAGCTACAATCATCTTTGCGGTAAGCTCCCGGCAACTAAGTTCCCGGCGAGTGCGTTTGTGGGTAATGATTGTCTGTGTGGGGTTCCATTACCGCCATGCAAGACCAAATCCTAGTATCTTAAAACCGCCATGGCAAAATATACATCGCGATAATCAAAACATAAATATTCCACTGTGTTAGATCTTTTTAATATTGTTTAATAAAGCAACTTATTTTTAATCTATTTATTTTAATTTTATGCGACGATAATTAGTATACTAATATGGAAAATTAAGATCTTTAGTGGTATTTTAATTTTATTTAATGATCACCTGTGACGGTCCAAGCTTTTATAAATCGGGATTAAATATTTTTACTCAGGTTAAAGATACAATAAATTTCTAGAAAAAAAATCTCTCCATATTGTCTAAAAAAAAAATTCAAATCCTAAAACCCGATTAACAAATTGACATTTGCTTACCAACAGACGGTAATATATTTTAGTAATTAATGTACCTACGTTATAGTTTTTTGTAATTTTACAATTGTTTTATAGTAAAATATATAAATTAAATTAAATTAAATATAAATTTATTTTATAGCCTAAATAAAATTAAAATAAAGGGGTTCTATTTATTTATTTTTCAGTATATTTAAAATATAATTTATTATTGTTTGAATTATAATCTGTAGTTTTAATTGTAATTTTGAAATTTATACTTTTCAAATTTCTCAAAAAATTCGTTCTTTGTACTGATTTTTAAAATTAGTTGACTTGTTATTAGTTAAAAAATTAGTAATTTAATTAATTGAATTACTTCTAGTTTCATGCATTAACATTGTAACAATTAATTTCTTCTGTATTAAAAAATAATTATGAATTTTTAATTCAAGATATTTTAGAAAAATACTTATATAAAAAAATATAATTGGTTGGTCTCTAGCCCATTACCTTCTCTTTGTTGCCCGGTTCAGCCCAAATCAAAGTCTCACTCGCATCTCTCCTGGCAGGGATCGAAGATAACAGACTGATTTGACAGAAGCAGGCCCCTTCAGTTCTCTCCAATATAACTTCCGCCGACCACTCTCCGGTAAGAATTCTTTTCCGGCTTCCGGTTGTTCTTCTCGCTATTGATCTCAATTTAACTCTACTGTTTCTTAGTACATGCTAGATTTTTGTGTTTATCTGTACCGATTAAATTTTCTTTTGAACTTTTGCTTCAATTCTATCTACTCTGTTTGCTTAATTACTATTAACATATTCATGTCTAAATTCTTATCATCGAAGTAATTTTATTCCTATCATGAATTCTTTAGTCATGAACGATGTTCTCCCATTCCGAAAGTGATTCAAAAATGAAAATTATCTTCTCACTTCCTGTGAAATGAGAATTGAACCAAAGCGACTGTAATTGTTGGATATTCTCATAACTTGATTATCGGATTCTGATATATACTTAGGTTGATGTTCATATGAGCATTGCTATTGTGGGGTTTTGAATCTTTGAATGCCTCTCCTTCTCGATTATCCTCATAGAAGCTGATGATTTTGCTGTTGAGGGCTTGTTGATGGTTCCTTTTTTTTTTTTTTTCTGTATGCGAGAGATTCATGATTGAATCCTGTATGCAATTACCTACCAGATTTTTTATCAAATGAGATAAGAATGCAAAGGTCCTACTTCAGTTATAATAATTAGCCACGAAAATGTGAAGCTAAGTTGCAAATTCACTTTTTCTTTTCAAAATTATTCCAATTCCAACTTCATTTTTTATTTTCAAAATTATTCCGAACTATTATTTTCACTTAAAGTGAATAATATGTGAAATTCTAACAAATTAATCGAATTTGAGAATATGGTTGAGAGTTTGGAGAAGAAAAGTGTGAAATATCTGTTGGGCTTTCATTTGAGCTTCTCGAAGTATTGTGAGTCAAGCATATTTCATAAACGATTTTGAAGTGCCAAAGGTTTACTTGAAATATCAAGCTCTAATATTTCTTTTCCCATATGAACTTCTGAGTGTAGTATCCTATATTGGCTAGCAATTGTTTGGAAGCCCCTTCTCATCTTATTATGTTACAATATATATTTTTTTACTTTCTTGATGTTGCCGTTGGTTTCCTTTGTTTCTGGACTTTTTATTTACGGCTGTAAATGCATCTTGCATGAGTTCGAAAGATTGGGTACCATCATGTCTACTTTCACTGGTTTTAGGGTCTCATTTTTGTGGAATTGCCTTTTATATTATCACAATATAATATAAAAAATTTAAAATGCTACCCAAAGAAATTTTTGAGATATGTGGAGTTAGTATCCTTTTCTCAGTGTTGTCTCTTCTGGTATAAGTAATAGAACAGTTTGTTACCTTGATTTCTAAGTACGTACACAGATATCTGGAAGTTAAAGGATGAGTCCATAATTTGGGCCCTTGTAATGAGGGTGTTGATGTAAAGCACATGAAGGGAATGAAAAGTTGGGACTTAGTAGTTAGAGAGCAGCAAAGAACAATGCTTGAACTAGGAGTTTTTATATGTTTTTTCTTGGAAGATTGTGTTAAATTGATTGTTTTTCAAAAGATAAAAGGAAAAACATAAGCATCAGATTGATTGGACAGAGGACTGGATACAAGTGTGATTTCTGGAAAAGGATATGACAGGTTAATTGGCGTAAGGCTTTTTTGGATAGAACAAAGGATAGAAGAATGAGTTACAACCAGGGTGTTTGCCGGTGAACAATTAGTTTTAGTAAGTGTAGGGTTGTTGAATTGGGTTTGTTATGTTTATTTTACGGATAAGTAAGGAGTTTTCCTCTAAAATCTGGTAGAAGGGAATAAAGACAATTAATAGTTGAAGCAAGGACATGGAGACTGCGCTCATGGCCTTGGTTTCAGTTGGAATACGGGAATGCTGTGAAGGGAAAAACAGAAGAAATTCTGCAGTATATCATTTATTTAGTGGTCAATGCTTGGACCCAGCCATAAGATTGTGCAACGAATTGGGATAATTTTTTATGCCGGTTCACCAGGCAAGTTGAATAACCCTCTAAATGTCTATAATCTCGATTTATGTGTTTATCAAACTGTATAGAAAAAAGAAAAACCTGTGTTGTACGAGTCTTGAAGCTACCAGCTCATCATGCAGGAGCTTTATGTGTGGTAATTTTGTGTCAAAAGGAGGCTCAGTTGCAGCTGTATATGTGGTAATTGCATCATTTATTTGGATAAATAGGAGATCTTATCATTCAGGAAGCTCGCCTATGTGAACATTTTAAAGCATTTCAATTTCATTATTTATATCATCTTAACCGTTGAATCCAAGCCTGCACTATTTTTTTTCAATCTACAGCCTAACTTTTTGAGGAGAAATCGATTTTTAATTTGTAGAGCCAATGGTACCAGGTGGTACTCATTTCAGTTCTGATACTGAAATTGCAGTGTTCATTTTGCAGTGACATGTCCTATTGACCCCTGGCCTTCTCTGTAATGGATACTGCAGAAAGAGAACTTGGAGCTGAAAATGCAGGGAGTGAGAGTTCATCTGTCGAGATAAAGGTCTTGTTCTTTGCGAGAGCTCGTGATCTTACTGGTATGACCGAATTTTCGTTAAAGATATCAGCTGGTAGTAACACTCAAGAGTGTCTGAAGGAGCTTATTGCCAAGTTCCCAAGCCTGGAAGAGATAAGTGCGTGCATGGTTCTTGCTCTTAATGAGGAATATACAACCGAATCCACCATTGTTAAAGACAAGGATGAGTTGGCTATTATACCTCCAATAAGCGGCGGGTAAAATATTTTGATTGTCCTTAAAAGTATCCAAAGGAGGAAATTGTTTGATGAATGAATGATTTACTGTAAAGTTCTCAGGGATGCCATGAAGGTATTCTCGGTTCTCTTCATTTCAGGAAGTATCCTTTGTAAAAGATGATCCTGTTCCATTAATAATACGAATTGCCACCCTAGTTAAGTTCCAATGAGTTCGTGAGAATCTGAATGTCATATAACTTGGCATAAGTTAATTTTTAGCTTAGAGAATTTTAAATAAAGAATGTCTGATTATTTAATAAACTCAAATAATTATTAAGTACTTTGTAACTAAATAAAGTACTTAAAGAAATAACACGAGTTTAGAATAAAATTATAAAAGTTTTTTCAGTTGCAATAGTTAAATAACACGAGTTTGGAATAAAATTATAAAAGTTTTTTCAATTGCAATAGTTAACCTTTTTAAACAAATTTGTAAAAATAGTTTATTTAATTCGAACATTCGCTTAAAAAACCACCTCAAGCAACACATATAGACAGAAACAGACATTTGTCAATAGGGAGAGGAGCGATACACTAAAATGAATTTATACACAATCCAACGATTTCAGAGTTTATTCATACACAACCAGAAACATCCAAATCCATACATTACAAACAAGTCAAACATAAAACCTTATATATTACTTTGAAGATACACTATTTAACATCTGTTGGGCAATAATTATTCTCATCTTAAACTCATCACTGGCCATGTGTTCACCCCAGCTGCGGGTAGAGCAGGTCGAATGATTGGGACCCGTCTCACCACTGAAAATGCTTCATTAAGACGCACAGCGCGACTCATAAACTGCGACACCTTCTGCAAACATTAATCAGAAAGAGACCAAGAGGTTGGATATATAAATCTATATATGTGTGTACAAAACAAGAGTTTCTTTTTCCTAAACAGTGTTTCTTCTAGGAAAATTTTAGATGCCTGCCTGGGAAACATGATACTTCCATGATAATGTTCTAACATTTTATACTAATACCATAATTATGTAGTAGTCACTTAACATTTTGTACTAATTCTAGGTTAAATACATATACACATATATATGCATAAACACTAATATGAGTTTCTTCTAGGAAAAATCTCTGTGCCCTCTGAAGGATACTCCCACAGTAACTTTTAATTTCATAGTAATTCAGTAATTTTGTCAAATAATCACATGGTATTGTGTAGTATTCAATAATTTTGTAAATTATTAAACAATTTAACATAATTACTGCACATAATTACTGAATTACAATGCAATGTTAAAAGATTAACCACAGCCATGGCACTTCCGAGTCACCACAGTAGAACCCTTTCTTTAATTCATACACACAAATTTCAGTGTTTCAAGCACATTACTTAAATCAGATTACAAAACAGCAAAGAATAAATAAATAAAACTATTTTTTCAAAAAGAAAATTAGCCTAAATAAAGAAATTCAAAAAATGTATAAGAGACAAATAATAGCACAAAAAAAGCCTAAACAAAGCATTTCTAAAATGGTGGATGAGAACGAATTACATATGCAAAGAGAATTTTAGTTAACAACAGTACTAACAATCCAACGGAATGATAAGGACCCAAAGCAATTAAAATTCTTTTTCTATTCTAAGTCCTAATAAAGAATTTGAGGGCAAAGTTCCCTTTGCATGGTGTATGCAGGCCCATGTGCATGTAATCTTTTGTCCACACCATGTGCATGTAATCTTTTGTGCACACCCATGTGCATGTACTCCTTTCTTAGCAACATCATCTACATGCACTCACTTCTGTGCACATCTATATTAGTACAATACTACAAATACCTAAAGACAAATTACTGTTTAGTTTGAATTCTTTCCCTTTCAACAAATGTGTTTATTTTTGTGAACTACCAGGCAATGAAATACTTTTTCACTTTTCAAAAACCAAACTTTCTTTCACTTTCAATAAATGGGTTTATTTTTGTGCACTACCAGGTAATGAATACTTTTTCACTTTCAGAAAACCAAAATTTTGCAAGAGAATAGTTATATAAAGTGATTTTTTTACCAAAAAAACAAGAGTCCCGAGTACAGAAATGGTTAAAGAAAAAGGTATGGAAAATTCAAAGAGTCAAACCAAGGTACTAACTGTACTTTCCTGAATATCTAATGGAGTCCTAACAAGCAGAGAATCCAGTAATCCAACCAACAGCATTAGCACAGATTCTTTAAGTAAATAGACCGCATTTGTTTTAAGAACAAGAATAAATAGGAACTCAGCGAACGAAAAGGCTTCTGCCATGGAATAAAAACAATCTTGAACAATAAAAAATCTAGTCGTTAAAGAGAAAGCATAAGATCCATAAATCAACGGCCTTGAGAAGTTTTATACTTTATATATTTATGACACTATAACCAGCATGTCATTACTTGTTCTCTCCCCTGATTTACCTGCCATAGCTAGGGTTTTATAAATAGCAAAATAGCAGCTTAATTATGCATGTAACATCTCTAAATCAGCGGCTCAAAAAACCAGTCAAAGCAGAATGCAACATGAAAATTTTGATGCCATTCAATTGAATATAAACCTGAAATCCTCAGTTTGCGAGCATGGCATGTGACAAAACAAAAGTAATTTACAGTAATGACCGAACTTCACAATGTTTATCATCAAAGCAGACATATAAATGGAACAACTGACCTTGTCATCCATAGTGACATTCAGCTGCAAGCTGCGGGTCTTCCTCTTCATCTTGTACAGTCTGCGTCCCAAGATAACGAATCCCATAACAGCTGCTGCTACAGACAAAGACCAAACCGGACTAACCTTGAAGACACAGTATTTCAGTATCTCAAAAGGAACTTTCCACCATGCTACAGCATTCCTCTTCTCTTCCTCGCCACCTGACTGCACACCAGACCCGATTGTAACAGTCCCGTGTCCGATTAAAGTTCCTTCTCCGCCTTCCATCTCCTGAGTCTCCTCTTTGGAGCCACTTCCATCGTCAAGTTCGGGCAATACCGCCAATTCTTCGGCCTTCTTCAAATGTCCACCGAAATTCATTCCTTCTTCCTTCTCGACGTTCACAAATTCTGCCGACGCCAAACCAACTCCACCGGAATCAGACCAGTGCTCGCTCATATCCTTATCCTCAACTTGAATTTCTCCAAAATTTTCAAAATTCACTGGATTTTTCTCGGTTTCTGAGAGATTCTCACAATTTTTCGCATGGAAATCGCTGATTTCAAGCTCTTCACAAGCGAATTTCGCTGAATTCTCACTCTCCGCAACCACTTGTCCATCTCCTTCAAGTTCCACTTTGGTTTCCGCGTTATCCACAAAACTCAGTTCATTTTTCACATAAAAATCACCAAGTTTACGCTCATCGGAGCGATCGCTACCCGAATCAGACCAAAACTCCCCCGAGTGCTTCCTCGCATACCGAGTCTCTGTCCCGGGGTCGATCCAACTCGGATTATCCGACTCAACCGAACCCTCCTCAGTCACATCATCAGACTTCAAATACCTACTCTGATTGTCAAGAGAGAAGTAATCAGACCTGAACACGCCCAACGTCTCACCTTCGATTTCCTCCAAATTCCCCGAGATTCGGTCTGACACCGGCGAGGGAACCGGGGCAGTATCCGAATTGTGAAGCAACTCCCAGTCTTGGAATTCTCCTTCCATGGCGGATTTCGGGGCTCTTGAAGGATCAAATTAAAGGTTTACAAAAACTGAACCCTAATCCAAAGAACCCCTAAAAAAAAAAAAAATTAATCAAGAGAGAAAATGGAATAAAGAGGAAAGTAGAAGATGGCAAATAGGGAGTTTTATACGGGTGACCCGCGTGCAGAGGGAGTTGATGTTCTTTAAAACGAATCTCAGTTTCTCTTTCATTATTTCTCTACGGTGCTCATACGGAGAGTACACTCGTTTTATGACGTGGCAAAATACTAAGGCTCGATGACCTCAGGTCAACGGTTGCTAACTTTGGTCATCGCCAATAGTTTCTGGACACGTGGATGTCGCGGCGAGCGCATGTAGCGGGGGATCATTTCTGATGAGTGATGAGTAATAAGAACAGAATGTGCGAGTTTTCTTCTCGGGGCGGGTAAACAAACGTTGGAGAATTGCAAGAAGAGGAAAGGGACAACTGGCTGCGTGACTGGTGTCGAATATTTTGGGTCATTAAGTTAATAATCGCTCCACTAATTATAATTTTTATTTTATTGAATTTATTTACGATTTTGACTCAATTTTACTTTTGGTGCAAATTAAGTTTTGTACTCAACACAGTATATATATATATATTTTTTAAAGTTTAATTTTTAGTATTGTAGGGTCAAATTAATCTTCATATAATAATGATTCTGGGAAGGTTGAAATAAAAAAAAAAAAAAAAAAAATTGTTTAGGGAAATTGACTAATCTCACTTTCTTTTTATTTATATATGAAAATATTTGTTTTTAATACAAAAAGTGGTGTAAAATATATCATTAAATAGTCAGCACTAATTAACCCTTGTACAAAAATATCAATAAAATTATTAACAAAAATCTAAAAATATACTAATCCATTTGTTTATATTGAAGAATTAATTAATTAGTGATAAATTTTTGAAGGCTGATCACCATGACAGTAATATCATCGGTGCTACAAGACATATTCAAAAGCTTTTTGCAAGACTCCAATAAATTCGTATCATGGCTTCGAATCGCGTCAACGGCTTCCTGCTCGTTCACCTAATTATCAAAAATTAATTGCTTCATTAAATAAATCAAATTAATATGTAGTGGATGAATATGTGGGGTCGTACCTTATCCCATAATCCATCAGAAGCTACAATGAGGAACTCGCAATCGGAAGTTAAACAGAGCTTCCTCATTTCAGGCTCTGAAATAATCCATTCTTTTAGATGTAAGTCTCCAATAGCTCTTGAAATTGCTAGTGTTCCTTGTACTCTCAAAACTCCATTGTAACAATGAATAAAACCACCCTGCAACCAACCAACCAACAGTTTTACCATATACATATATATATATATATTGCCAAATAAATAACAATTATCTCTAACATTTTTTCAGTTGCAATTTGATAATTTAACATTTTTTTTTTTTCAATTTTCAATCCTTTTTTTTTTTATAACGAGAAAATAAAAATAATTAAATCATGTTTAAATACTTTTACAAAATTAACTTTAAAAAATAAATTAGAATAAATAATCAATATTAACAAACATCTTTATGATTTATCGTTAACTAAAAAAATATTAATTAAGATTGATAATGAATATTAATGAAACACTTACAGAATTTTCAATGCGAGAACATTCATCTTCTCTGTCGCGAAGACGATGATCCATTGATAGATTCTCTGCAACTCCATTCCTACTCAAAACCACTTTACAATCCCCTACATTTGCTATGTGTAAATTTCCATCCACAACCAACACAGAAGCTGCACTAGCTCCACTGCTTACCCCCTGCACTTAATTATATATATATATATATCAAATCCCAATTCGATTATATCTTTATATCTCGAACTAGTTAAATACTTCAATTGTTTTCAAAAATTAAGATAAATCCAGGATTTATATGCGTGTATATATATATATATATATATATATGTATCTGTTATTTCAAAATCATGAATTTCCAAAATATTTTCAAAACTAATATTAGAAATAATAGTTTTCATCAGATTCTACCTAACCTTAAAATATATTGTTCTAATTTCACATAAAATTTGTATCTAATATTAAATTATATCATTTTTAATAAATTTTTATAAAATTTACAAATAGATTAATCCACAAAATTTTCCGAATTTGTCCTAAATATAGTAATTAGTTATTTGGACTTTTTTAAAAATTGTGTTGCATTTAATTAAGAATTGGTAAGTTAGTGGAATAACGTAAATAAATTAAATTAATGTTCTAAAGTAAATATTGGACCGAGTGGGTCAATTTGAGAAGTTAAAAAATGAAAAATAAAATTCACCTGGCTAAGGAACTCCCTGTCTGTAGTCAAATAACCTTCGCGAATTGCCTCTTCTAATTTATTATCGCACTCTCCCTCTACATTTTCGAGAGCTTTAATTATGTTCTTCCCTAAATTTTCAGCCACGAACTCAGCTGCAGCTCGCCCTCCATGCCCGTCAATCACGGCGAAAAATGCCTGTTTCATCACAACGTTCAATTCAAATTCATAATCTAAATGTAATATCTATATATAGTGTTAAAATATTAAATTATTATTTAAAATATGATATTTTTTATAATTTTCTTTTTAATATTTTATTATAATTTAATTTACAAAATTTTTAATTTTTTTCTTATTTTTTAATAAAAAATAAAATTATTAAATCGTATTTGAATATTTTTGTAAAAAAATAAATTAGATAAATAATTTTTAACTAATTAATTAAATTAATAAATCATTAATATCTTTTAATTAATTAGAATTATTATTTGATATATTTTTTAACATATTTAAACGTAATATAATTACTGTATGTTTTTTTTTTTTTTTTTTTTTAATTGAAACGTGGAAAAAACTAATTTGAAGATAATTATAAGGTGTTTCACAAGCAGTGGATGAATTTGTAAATATAATTGTTGGATTCCAAATTTATATCAAAATATTAAATTATTAACTAATTACCTGGTTAGGATCTCCCAAAACATCAAGCATGACTCCATAACTATCTTCCATGGCCTCTCTTCTTCTTCCTTGTTTGCTAACCAGACAGAAATCATTCCCTTCAACCTCGTCATGAAATTCCTTTTTCTTCTCCATCTTCTTCCTCCTCATTTCCCTCACTAATTCCTCCATTAACAGATCTCCACAACTTTCAGGAACTACAAGTCCCGGAGGCCTCTTCCTCAACTTCACAGCTCTAATATCTCTCTTACCCCCGCGAACACCATCAACCTTCTCCACTGTTTCTGACAAAGCTCCATTCATGGAAATTCCGATCCATGAGACAGCGCCAGCAGACGGAGAAGATGATGATGATGATGATGATGATGATGACAGTAAGAGTTCCAGAGGCCTAGATAGGAAATAAAGTGGTTGACTTTTGACCAGAAAATGAAGAAAGTGTTTAGCGAGATAAATTATGGAGATCAAACCCCATAAAAGCTCCTGCAAATTATTATTTTCTGTCATATCTTTGCAGGACATGTACGAAAGAAGATTAACAAAATGGGTCCAAGCAACGGAACGTCATCGATTCATGTCTTATAAAGAAACGATGTTTGCAATAGCAAGACGAGAAGAAGAGTAGTGTAGGAAAAGAAAAAATTAGTACCGGTGAAAGCAACGATGATTACTGACAGCTTAAAAATGAAGAAGAACGAAGATATTATATAAGTATACGTACATGCATATATATATATATATATATATATAGCTTGCAGTATAAGATGACGTAGTCGTGAAGGAAAGAGATGAATTATTATAAGGATTTGGACAACCATAATAGGAAGGTTTTGAAAGTTTCAAAAGAAGGGAATGAGTCATATTCATGCATAGATTCATCAATTGGTAGTCGGTCGATATTTTCAATTGCTGGCCCTCGCCGATCTGGAGAGAAAGATTCACACTGTTTGACTTGGCTTATTTCAATTAATTTTATATTAAAATTATATACCTTTTTACTAATTTATTATTTGCATGTTTGATACTAATTAGAAATCTGGAATAATATATTTATATACATATATATATATATATATGCTACATATAATTTCGATTTGGGTGTTAAACGTCATGACTGCCATTCTTTTACTTTGACTTTCGTAACATATCATATAAACATATATACGCAGGGGTACACAAAACACAAATTCCTTTCTTCCTACGTGAATAACTTTTTTTTTTTTTTAATAAGAGATAATGAATTTAAATCAAAATATATTTTTATATGTGTAGATATATTTTTATATCTGTAGTCATATAAAAATTATTTATATTTTTTTATTATTAGTTTATGTATCATTTGATGAATTTATACATTTTTTATTGTATCATATAATTATTTATATTTTAAATATTTTTTATTACTGGAATTTAAGCAAATACAGTTCTTGATAAAGAATTTAATAAATAAATTAAATCTCATTAAATGTATACTTTTAAAATTTGTTTTCTCTTAATAAACTTAGTTTATTTTTTTTTTTTAACAGTGATGTGTAATTCTTTTATTAAAAGATTTTAATTTTGAAATCGAAATTTAAAATGTTGGAATTAAAAATATTAAGACATCCAATACAAAATACACACACATATATATACATATGTATAAATGACTTTAAATTTTGCATAACTTATAATCGAAGTGCATATTTAAAATTTAATTGATAATTTAGTTTCAGGGAACGAATGTAACACCCCGACATAAATTCAGAAGTATTACGACGATACTATCTATATTCATCCTACATCATATAGTAATCTCTGTTTGTTCATTAAAAGTGTTCATTGAAAGTATTCAAGTCCAATCAATCAATATCCAAAATTCACAACAATGTATCTACCGATCTCATACTCTACAAATGTAAAGTTTTGTTTACAACAATTTAATATCAAACGAGTGCGTACCATTGCATCTCAAGGTTAATATTCGCATCGGCTAACTTGTCTTCTCTAAACACTAAGCTCAAAAGAAAGAAATCCTGGTCCGGTTTCCTATTTTACAATATCTATAAATAATATATAATTAACACACACAATTACAGTAAGATAAATTCAAACAATAAAACCAAAGTATAGAATTTCATTTAATTGTCTACACAAGTTCTAAGTTCTCTTCCTTTATTGTTCTGTCCTCATCTAACCACTCAAATCTTTTTTTTTTTTTTTTTCTTTCAACAGCACCTACCACCAACACTCCCCTGTTATCACTTTGTTCCACTACACCTATACGACTCTTCTTTTCCTAAAATCCCATTTTCTTTAACGATACCACATGCCAAATAATATGATTTAATCTACATATGATATTTCCCCTATCCAAAATCTATTTTAGCTCTATCCTGGTCAGCCCTCCCCTACACACAACCTCTTTCATGCACTCACTGCAAACTCAAACAACCAAAAGAAAACTAATCAAAACACACTAGCAATCATCACTATAAAATATCGGTCTACCACCGCTACCAGAAAGTCGATCGCATTTACATGCTATGCTAGTCCGACCATAAATCGAGCACACATACCAGCAACATGGAAACATACTCCAACCACCGTCAACATCGGCATCCCAACACAAAATAACTCAACCATCACGGCTTTATGTTTTTCCCAATTTCTATTCATTTACCATTCACTCATGCAACTTTTGACAAGCAAACAGTATAAATTAAATTCAGGTTGACATAGACAATCAGAAACCTTAACACATTTTCCATACACATAACTGCCATTAGTTGGCCATACTCACACACACTTTCACCAACCTCAGTATACTAAGACACAGTTCAGCTATTTCCTCGCCTCCCCTAGGAGTTCCCACATTTCTCATACACAACACAGCATTTTATCTAAAACCTCTCCCTGTCCGTTCTCCTAACCGACGGCCAACGTGTGCCTCGACACCACAACCTCCGTGGTTCACTAGCGTAGCTCAGATTCTTGTATTTCTGTCCTCTCTCGTTTCCCTACCGTCGCCTAATTCCATAATCCTGTCTCCCTCTCTCAGTTTACACTCCCATTTTTTTTCTTCTTCTTTCACTCATCATTCCTGCGCGGTGTCTCTTCTTTGTCTCACTCCATAGTTTTTCATTTTATTTTTCTCCGCTAATTACTTCCTCATCTAATTCCCGAAGCAGTTCACAGCTTCCTCCTCGATATCCTTTCACACTCAACTCCACTCCTCTGTCCAAAGTGCTCACCATCCATTCGAAACCGAATCTTAGGAAAGTAAACACGAAATGCCATAACAGTGTTTGAAATTCATAATCTACTTATCTCTTGCTTCCATCGTCCTCTAATTCGACAACAATCTCCTCAAATCTTACTTAAGCAATTTTCCACATGTTGCTCATTCGCTCACCCAAATCTCTCTTCCTCTCTTCTTTCCCTTTTTCCTTTTTCTTTTTCTTTATTTATTTTTTTTTAAACCCCTCAGCCTACCACCCCTTTTTATGCTCGGCCCAATTAAATCCCAGCCATCTCCTTCTATTACCCTAAATCGGCACTGTTCAGGTGCTTAAAACCAGCCCCCATGTGGGCCCTTCTTGATCATTTTCCCCCTTATTTATTTTTCAATAATTTAAATTATTACAAAGTATGTGTCTTATTAAAATATCATATTCTAAAGTTATTTTTTAATTTATTAAATAATCAAAAATAAATTTGATTTGATTTGATTTTGTTAACTTTTTATTATCAAAAAATTCATTGAAATATTTTATTAATTGACGTCGAATGAATTCTGATTACATTAATAAATATATTATCATATAACTTTAGTTTGATATACATATACACACACACACACACACACAAGATAGTCAAATGTATACTAAGCATAATTTGAGAATTTAGAGATTCGAAAATAGAGAAGTTACTTCCCTAGGAAAAGACAAACCACGTGGACCATGCCACATGTTGGATGGCAAATGACAAATACCCCTTCAAAACGGGCAAAAGCCAAGAGTACGGGATTTATGGATGGTGGATGATGAAACTGATAAAAGAAAATAAATATGCCATAGTTTTCTTTGGTGTATAATATATACATATACATATATATATATATATATATATACTGGAATAATAAAAAATAATATTTATGAAATTAAAGTAAAAACGTATTATGGGTTTAAAAACAATAAAATTTTACTTAAAACATTTTTATTTTATATTTAAATATCCATAATATACATGTTTTCTTTATGATGTGTCACATGTGAAATAAAAATTATAAAGTCATTTCATATGTCAAATAAAAACTTTGAAATATTTTTAATTTTATATTTTATACGCCTACATGTATTTTAAATTAATTTTAAAAAATAAGCTTATTTATATTTTATGTGCTTATCAAAATAATCATTAATTACTTATTAACTAAATAGTATAAATATTATTATTTTTTAAATATTATAACTATATGTTATCTTATGAATTTTAAAAAAATAATTATTTAAAAATAATGATTATATATTTCAACCACAAAAATAAAAATATACAAAGATAAACCAAAAAGGAATTTTAAGTTGTTGATGTCTTATGTGTCTTATAGTGGATAATATTTCAAATTATATTTATCTAAAATGTTTAAAATTTTTCATTTTGTATAATTAAATATCTATTTTATATATAATTGTCATGCTTTTAATAATTAAATCGTAACTTAAATTATACTTTTTATAAGTAATTATTGATTTGTCAGGAATAATTAATTAACTATATTATATTTAGATATATATTTTAATTTTTTAATTTAAATTTATTACTATAGTAATTATTAGGCGTAATTTATCGATGTATAATGATTATTTTATATACTAGATACATTAGATCTCTATTAATTTTAAAGGACTTTTTATAATCTCCTGATGACTTGAAGCAACTATTCTATTTTAATTATTATCTTTGTCTTGAAATTGCTTGATTGGATGGATGCTAAAGCTTTTCTTGTTTTTATTTTGTTTTTATATTAAAAGAAAACAATAATACAATAAATATTTATATGCTTAGTAAATACAATCCATAATATATCACTATAAAATAGATTAAACATATTTAAAATATATAATATTGAAATGATGAAATATGTTTAAGATATAAAATATATTGAGCATGTGTCCAAGTCACCGTTAAAAAAAAGAAAAAAAAAAAAAGAAGTGAGTTTATGTGTACGTTTTATTAAGGAGTTTTCGTACATGTTAATACTTTTTTATTTTTCATATTATCTCATATTCTTTCACACATATTTTTTATTTTTATTTTTATTTCGACAAATAGATATTCTGAAATATCATTGATGACGTGGAAGAATTCTATTTGTCAAAAAGCGAAACTCAGCAATCTGTCACGCACTGGATCATTTCTTCTGAATCATCATCGACATGGATTCATCAACGAGCATCAAAAAACCTCTTCTTGTGTCTCGCTCTCTCTCTCTCTCTCTCTCTCTCTCTCTCTCTCTCTCTCCTAATTAAGCAAAGCCGCCAAAGAAGCACTCAACAAAAGCACTGACCCTAAATCTCTCTCTGTCTCTCTCAATTCTCCAATAGAGAGAATAATGGCATTTTCTCCTTCGATCTCTCACTCGTCGAGCATTCTATCTCCAAACGCATTGGCTCGTGATGCGAAGCCCAGGAAGATCTCTCCTACTCCATCTCAGTGCTCAGCTGCTTCATGTCTTCCTCATTGTCCTCCTGTTTGCAGGTACCTGCGTCTCCGAATTGATGCGTATTTATTTATGAAGATCTCGGTGATATCTCTATGCGTTTTTATCTATGTCGATATGTCTGCGACAAGTGAATGGCATCCTTTTTCCTTGCTTACAATTTTTTCAGGTTCATTTCTCGTTTGATTCCTGAGAAAATGCGAGGGACAGGAGAAGTAATTGAAGTTTGATTTCCACATTTCGGGATATAGTTATGACTTTTCGGAATTAAAATTCGCATATCAGTCTTCTCCAGTTCGTTAAAAACTAATTTATTGCATTTTTATGGACCTGTGTTCCAGTGACATTGGTTGTGTGTCTGCATGGGCATATGATTTTCTTTTCTTTTTCCGCGGTTTCCTCCAGGGGAAACTTCGTAGCTTTCCTGATAAAATAAAATTGTCTTTTTGCTATTCTTTTCTTCCACTTATATTTTCAAAATCAACGTAATTGTCTATTTTAGGCGTTTAAAAGAATGACAAGTCTGAGATGTAGAATTTCTCCAGCTTTTAAGTTAATACTGGTCGTTTGCTTTGGGCTCACAGACTAGTTCAAAGCATCAGTATTTTTTGGGTTGAGAAAGTAGCAGTATTTTGATTATTAACGAGAGAACTTCTAGAGCAGAAATAGACGGTATATCAAGCTTAGAATTTGAACTTGTTCCATTCAATCGTAAATTGAGAACTAGAGAGTACATCAGAGTTTGGCTTCCATGTTTAAGAGTGGGAACTAGACGGTATAACATGCTTAAGAGTTTGATGACCACATCTCTTTTGAGAACTAGAGGGTGTATAAAGGGTATATCAATTATATTGTTGCCCCAGTGTGCCTCAATTAATTCCTAAGTCATCAATCTGATAACCAAATGGAAAATGCAAATGATCAATCATTTCTGTAATTTATCTATTCTGATGGTCACGTTTAGTCAATAGATGGTGATACTAGTTCGTATCGACTTCAGACTTAGCAGTCCAGAACCCAATTTTCCATTACACTGTTTTCTTAGATTGTAAGTGAGATCTATGTTCCTTTGAATTTTGAAGAGTTTCTCTTTTTGGTTTATGTTTCAGAGTGGGTTTTGTTTCCCATCGAGGAAGAAGGGAGTCATCTGTCCGCATCTCTGCGTCAATTACAGGTTTTTTTTGAAGTTTTTCTGTCTGTTATCTAATTAGTTTGAACTCATGTTTTATTTTATAATAGCTTAGATATTGTTGAGTGACTTCACTCAATCATTACCTTCTCTTATGTATGTTTACAGACACGCCAGTGGAGAAATCCATGGAAAAAGTTAATCTTCCCAAAGGTGATATGTGGTCTGTTCACAAATTTGGTGGCACTTGTGTGGGAACCTCTGAGAGAATAAAAAATGTTGCTGAGATCATTGTTAATGATGATTCTGAAAGGAAATTGGTAGTTGTGTCAGCAATGTCAAAGGTGACAGATATGATGTACAACCTCATTTACAAAGCACAATCACGGGATGATTCCTATGTATCTGCACTAGACGATGTTTTGGAAAAGCACCGATTGGCTGCTCTTGATCTACTTGACGGAAATGATCTTGCTAGTTTCTTGTCCCGGTTGCATCATGATATTAATAACCTCAAAGCTATGCTTCGTGCAATATATATAGGTAACCAAGTAAATTTCTTTGTCTTTCTTCTCTTGAATTCTAGATTGGTCAATGACCTTGCTAGTTTCTTAGGCCATATTTGCATGTTGTTTCTGAATGAGTAATCTAATTATCTGGTTGGAATTTATGTGTCTATTTTTACTATTTGGAAATTGGGATTGTTTCATTTCAATTGCATGCTTTCCTTTTCTCATGCTATTTATGTGTGTGTGGGTATAAGCATTTATTTGTGTGGACATGCATGTGATTTCGTGCAAGTTTACATAATTAGGGATGTGGATTGTGTGCTTTTTTTTAACTTCAGGAACTATAATCTGGTATAAGTCATGTTACATGTTTGAGATTTTGTTTTCATTTTATGGGGAATTGGAGATTAGGACCATGAGGTCCTGGAGGTTGCTTTCTTTTACTCTGTTGCCACTGAATGAAGGCTGGTCAATTACCAGTTCAATAACTAACCAAAGGCATAAAGTTGTTAAACAGATTGTGCTGCATGCGAACAACACAGCACCTCATGTCTTGTGTCCTGGTAGGTTACACTACTTGTTGACATCATTTGGAAAACAACAGGATAAGCCTCTTTATATAGCACGACTTGATGGTCAGCATGAGCACAGTACTATATTACATGCAGAACTACTATTTCTTTTTTTTTTTATCTTTTTTTTCTTTTTTTTTTTTATCTTCATGCTGCACAAGGACTCTAAGTCTCAGAATTAGAGCCCTTGACGGTTGCATGATGCAGTTGTCACAAATTTTGTGATTATTGCACAATGTAATAATTTAAATATCAAAATTTGGTGACTGGTGTAAGTTTGCTTTTCCTTGCCATGTTAAGACATCTTTTACCTTTTAATCTAAAAGTTATTTAACTGATACATTGACATCTTCTTTTTCAACAGCTGGTCATGCAACCGAATCTTTTACAGATTTTGTTGTAGGACATGGAGAGTTGTGGTCTGCTCAGATGTTAGCATCTGTTGTTAGGAAGGTCCGGTTATTATATGTGCTTGTAATGTAAAAAAAAACTGACTAATAGCTATTTTTAGGAGTGATCTAAAAGTTATGTCAGTTGTCATCTGGTGCAGAGTGGCCTGAACTGTCAATGGATGGACACAAGGGATGTGCTTATTGTAAACCCTACTAGCTCTAATCAAGTTGATCCTGATTTCTTAGAGTCTGAAAGGAGACTTGAAAAGTGGTTCTCCCAAAATCCATCTAGGATAATTATAGCTACTGGTTTCATAGCCAGTACACCCCAGAACATTCCAACAACTTTGAAGAGGGATGGAAGTGACTTCTCTGCTGCTATAATGGGTGCTTTATTAAGGGCTCGTCAAGTCACTATTTGGACTGATGTTGATGGGGTTTATAGTGCAGATCCACGAAAAGGTTTGTGCAAATGCCCCATATAATGGTTTTGCTTAAAGATTAAAAGATATTACCTTTTTTATAATATATTTTATTAATTTATGGAACATACTTTCTTGAATTTTAAGAGTTATAATTGTGAGATTTACAAAACGAACTTTTCCGTGCAGTTGGGGAGGCTGTTATACTAAGAACATTGTCCTATCAAGAAGCGTGGGAAATGGTAAACTTGACCACTCCTGTTTGCTGTAGCTAATTATTGCTGGCTATAGTTTATGAAATAAAGTTCATGTAAATGCAGTCGTACTTTGGGGCAAATGTTTTACACCCCAGAACCATCATTCCTGTGATGAGATATGACATTCCAATTGTGATAAGAAATATATTCAATCTCTCTGCGCCCGGAACAATGATATGTCAACCTGGTGTTGCTGAAGATGAAGATGGTCAGAAACTGGATTCTCCTGTAAAAGGATTTGCAACAATTGACAATTTGGCTCTTGTAAATGTTGAGGGGTAAGCCTTTTAACTGTTATTTTCCTTGATTTCATTTGGAGTCACGAATTTTGATTTTTGTTAATTCCTTTTGTTTTATGCTTCTACTAGAAAATGTTTCATATCTGGCATTCTTTTCTTCTTTTGGCAGAACTGGAATGGCTGGTGTTCCTGGCACTGCAAGTGCTATTTTTGGTACTGTGAAAGATGTTGGAGCTAATGTCATTATGATATCCCAGGTCCATCCATTATCTCTTTCAGTTGTTTGCTATGATTTTTTTTCATAATATATAAGAGCTTAATTGTCAAACATTATGCAGGCTAGTAGTGAGCATTCTGTGTGCTTTGCTGTACCTGAGAAGGAAGTGAATGCTGTTGCTGAGGCTTTACAGTCTAGATTTCGTCAAGCTTTAGATGCTGGACGTCTTTCCAAGGTGACACTTTCTTGTTATTTTAATCCTCTTGGACTCTTTTCTTTTTGAAAGAGAAAAAAAATCCTCAATCACAAGCACTAAGGAGGTGCAACTCGTTTACAAAATTTACATGACAATCAAAATATCTATAAAGTGTCCCAAGATTCTCACAAGAATAAAGAGGATAACCTTTAATAAAAAAAACCTGGGGTCTTCAAACATAATAATAGTGGGAGAACTATGAAGATTCATGGAAACTTGGGCTTACAAGGCTAGCTTCTCAAATAGAACTTATTTCCTTGATATGTTTTCTCTTATTTGTTAAAGAAATTAGCAAAACAAAGAGAACTCTTTTCTTGTGTGAATCAAATCTTCCAGATTAGTGTATGAATTTCTAAACTTGGCTGACATACTTGCCTTAGTTTTCTCATGATGATTTCTAAACTAGCATAATCTTTACCAAAATAACTAGGATTTTGAAACCATGCTAATTTTTTACACGAGTTGCTTCTTGGAGTTTTTATTGAATATATAGGTCATATGCAAGAGTCAAAAGCATAGTACTTGCAAATTTCCAATAGGCTTTCTCTTTTGGCTCTGTTAGATTATTTGCTTAGGCTTTGGCTTCTAGCTATGTCGGTCATGATATGCTATGTTTGTTCCCTCTATTTTCTTATTTTGAGACTCGTTTTGCATTCTTTCTACCTTCTGTGGTTGTAGCTGTAGATGTATCTTCTTATCAACTTGTGTTTGTACTCCGTGCCTAATTTGCTATTCTATTTTCCTACTTA